TGAAATTACATTAATTTCAATGGGAAAAACTGTTTCGACTCGCGAACGGAGTCAAAGAACGAATTAAGTTGGTGACTCGAGGTACCACTGTAGTTTCTTTCGAGATTCCGTTAATCTTAGTGTTCTTGATTGCGTATCTTTCATTAGCGAAACACGTCCAAGTCGTTTCTGTTTTTAGACATTGATGTCTCATGCCATAGTTAGGCAGTCAGTTGGTGATTTGCACGTTCACTTACCCTACGTTAACAACAGCCCAAATTACGTTTTTGGTTATTCAGAGTTCTTTGGTTCTGGTTGTTAAGATCGTCAGCTGAGCAGCTTCAAAAACAAATGATGGAATATATGGAATATTTCTTGTGTTGTGTGACACTGCTTTCCAATTTCTACAGTGTTTGCTTTAGTTGTTAGTGATATTCATTTGGAGCCGAACAGTTATCCAGGTCGAACTCGGCGGCAGTTAGACGAAGACGCAACGGTTGACAATGTTGAGGATCGAGGTATGATGATCGCTTCAGCCGCTTTCCGTGTGGTTGTATCTGTATTTTTTTATAAATTGTATTGATTTGTTAGTTCGTTATTGCGTTAGTTTCCCTCATCCTTGTATATCTGAGCTGTGTTTTAAGTGGAATCATCCTTTAGAGTCAGGATGGACAGAATGTAGGCGTTTGAATATAATTTAGTGATGCCATTTCTAATTTTAGGATCTGTTAGCATTTAGAAAAGCATTGATTTTGATTTTCATTAAAATTCTTGCTTTTCGTATTTTGTAAACGAAAAGGTTATTCCGTCAGATATTGTAATTGCACTTGTCAGATGACAACTTCGACGCAGCAAACATGGTACTGTAAAGAAGAGTTAGATAAGCTCATTTATTGTATTAAGCCATTAATAAATGCGAAACTGGCGATTAGAAAATTGTATCTGACATCCATGACGTTACAGTTAAATTTGAAGGATCTCATGTAGGCTGCTTTCTTACGTTTTCACGTGTCATATGGTTAGTGGTGTGGATACGATGATAATTAGACATCGATAATTCGACTGTGACCCGAAGACGACTTTTCTGTCACGAACACTGCTTGAACTTTTTTTTAATGTAGTACGTACCTTCCTGACATAAACTTGTATAAACAACCAACTTTTGTTTCTGGTAGTCTTTCCCTGAATCAGAAAACAAAGCAATCCGCTTTCAGCCTTTGCCAAACTTTGTCTGCCGGCAAGCTGACCATCTTGGAGGTGGGCCACTCTGACTCTGAGCTAAACCATATATACCGTATTCTGCAATATTTTTTCCTCATCTTTGATCTTTGCACGATCATCTTAGGGTAACTGAGAAGTCTGTCCCTGCGCTCTAATCTGTTCAACATCGTTTGTTGACTCGGTAGTAACGCTGCCGTATATTTTTGGTTGCCTGCTCTCCCCCTCCCTCCGGCATTCCCAAAGGTTTGTAATTTTTGCTTAAACCTTTTCAGAAGGCAAGCGTTGAGGAGACTGAGAATTCATTGTTTCGTTTTGCAGGCGATTATTGTGTTTAGTAGATATGCCATTTGAATATTCCTTAGAACTATACTGTGAGCATGGTGGTTTAGAAAGTGTTTCATCTGTCGAAGGAGGCAATGCTCAAGGTATACGTCGTGCTCCTCGTCGTCGAAGGGAGCCTCGTGCAGGTCGCGGCGGGCGTGGTGGTAGCAGATCGCCGTATGTCGGCGATCAGGGACCCGATGAAAACACTAGCGCAGGCGGAGGTGGCGGCGGTGGAACCAACAGCGGCGACAACTTCGGCAGCGGCTCGACTAGCGTAACCAAACGGATCCCTACCGTTCGTTGTTGATGCTGATGACAGTACGAATACGCGTAACGCAGTTCTGGATTTAGTCAACGGTGATTCTTAGACAGTTGTAACGGTTTCTTACTTACTGTTGATTGTGTTTATTTCACGCGTGGTGCATATTTCATCTCATATTTATGCATTTCTCCATCGTTCGGATAAACTTTCAGAAATATTTCCCTCAACACATGAGAATGTCTTGCGTAACTGTCGATCAAAATTTTACACTCTTGTTTCCAACTTCTGTTGAGTGTACGTTGCTGCGATGCTTTCTTCGTTTTGTCTTTTTAATTAATAGTTTGACTTAGTGTTGTCATGTGTGTTTGTTTGTCTCCATGCACTGGTTTGCCTGTTGTTTGCTGAGTCTATTTTTATTATGTTTCCGTTTATACCGTTGTTAGTTTTCAATTTATTACATCTCTGCATAAATTGTACTGTCAGCCGCAGGATAGCTTTTCCGCCGATTATAGTATTGACTGCGACTGTTGTGCCTTTAAATACAATTTGAAACTAGATAGCTCGCTTTTTGCTTTGTACTGTTTTGAATCTCCATGCTGACATGCATATTCCATCGGCACTTGATGTCCATGTATTCCAATTTTGGTAGCAGTTTACCGTGTTGGGTTATATATGAAATTGTTTATACTGTAGAACTTGTAATGTTCTGATGTAGTTCAGTCGTTATCATTTCAAAAATCTTGGTATGAAAAATTTTCATACTCGTTTGTATATTAGGCTGAAAGTAGTGTATTTGTAAAAGAATTCTCTTTAAACAGATTTTGCGTGTTGATAAACTTTGTAAATAAATGTCTATCTGTAACTTGGTTTCAGATGCTCGGTGCCGTAGCATTCACTCAGCGGTCAGTGGAAGTAAAACTTTGTTCACGAATTTGCATCAGAAATTTTGATCACTTTTCTTTGTGCAGCATCGGATTTGTGGCTGCTTTAATCATGTCGCTGTTAATTATTTGTTCGCAGCGACAACGTACGTTATCGTGATTCGCTTGTTTTACCTAGGCCTTGTTATGTGCTCTGATGTATATCGTATGATTGTTAATGTCTTGCCCAGTACTCTCTGCGCCAATAATATTAGAGGAATCGGTGCTTATTGTTTTTTTGCCGCATCAGAATATCGGAATGCTGGGGATCTATTAATAAGCATAATTCTGTTGAGTTACATAGCATTTCAGATACTTGCCGTAAATTAAAATCCATTGGTTAGGTTGATTTCTGGTTGTGATCTTGAAGTCATATCGCCAAATCGACGGTTAATTTACGTGATTATGCTAGTGGTAAGCAGAGACGGTCTGAGAAGATCGACAAGACGCAGATACTCACAAATCGTGATGCTGTTAACCTTTTGGTTTGTAGGGACAAAGTATGATCATGATTCATCGGTTAACGTTGACTTCAGCAGTCAGCACAAACTTATACATTTACGGGTCGACCAGCAGAATTCCAGGTGGCAACATAATTAGTATAACAATAGTGATTGCGGTGATACGAGAACTGTATAAGTATCTTTGCAGCAATTGTCGATTAGGCGCCAATTGACAAAGGTACTGAAGACGTGAAATGCCTGTCTTACATTGAAACGTCATAAAGCGATTCATAGCATCGAACGGTGCCAGCAGTGTCTCTATGTCAGACGCATTTTTGATCGGCAGGGACTTCTTAAGTTTAACAGTTTCTTAAGAATGGTACTTGTTTGTTTTACCAGATCTTTGAGATGTAATGCGCTTTGATTGGTGCGGAATTCAGGCAAGCATTGATGCGACCGGATTTCTTATGCGTAAGGCCGTTGAAAGACGTGGATGCTACTTATAACAATAGTGGCATTATGTAACACCGCTGTA